GGAGTGCTGAGCATTGGCCAGTCCTACCTCATGGGAAGGTTTTTCCTGCTGTTCAGCAAGGAGCACTTTCCTGCTGTTACTTTTCGGGGTGCGGCCGGTGTGGTTGTGCAGGTCAGCGGGAAGGGCTGAGGCTCCTTTCCATGCTCCCTGGCGCGGCGCGAGGTGGGAGCCATCCCCCTCCCCGTGGCACTGCGGCTGTGGTCAGAGGGGAGGCTGACCTCTAATCAGCGCTGGGGTAGAGGTAGATTTGGGAGGAGGACTGTGTCTTTGGGCGGCCAGCGCGGCAGTGTCTGCTGGGCTGTGCCTGTGCCGTGGGTATTGCTGCTGACGGACGGGTGGTCTTGTCTTGGCAGCGGTTTGAGCCGGGAGCCCTGTTCCCAGGTGGTGGAGCAGGTCCATCTGCGCTGCACCGAGGGCTCCCTGGAATGGATGTACCCGGCACGAGCCCCGCATGTCGTTCTGGAGCCCAGCCTCGCCAGCACCCAGCACACCACTGTCTGCATCAAGCCCTCCAGTGACTTCCAGGGTGCCAGCATCTATGTGGAACGTGCTAGGCAGCTGCATCTGGTGGTAAGCAAGGCAGAAGGGGCCCATCCCCACCACGTGTCTTGCTTCAGTGCCCACGCACCACAACGAGTGGCCCTCTTCCTGCAGGCCAGCCCGCAGAGGGACATGCCGGACGGCCAGCTTCCAGTATGAGCTGCTGAGCAACCAGAGTGTTGCTGGCCCCGACTTCGGAAAGATGACCCTGGTCGAAGGTAAGAGCAGAGCCAGCCGCGGGGCTCCACTGTTGGGGCAGATCCAAGGTGGCATCCCACACCCACTGACCTGGGCAGTGCGTCCCTAGTGACAGTTTTGTGCCGAGGGGTTTGTCACTGCAGTGGAGGTCCTTCTGCCAGCACGCTGACTGTTCGGCAGGCGCAGTGTGTCTTCAGATTTCCACTGTCGGGGCATCCTGTAGGCACAGGAGGGAACCAGCAGCCAGCTTGGTCCTGGGTGTATGTGCTGTGTCCTTGGGTGTCCCCAGCCCCTGGCAGTACCATCACTGAGAACACCTGAGTGGGCTTTGTGAGTCTAAAGCCCGTGTTCAGAAGAGATTTAAATTCATCAGGAGCCCGAGGCCCCCAGATGGTCACTGGAAATTAGAATGCCCTTTTTGAAAACAGGATTAGCCACCTAAATTGCTTGAGTTTCATGCACCTTAATAACACTTATCTCCGCCCCCCCCATGGATGTATCCAGGGAGCACTGAGGTTGAAGAGGGCTCTTTTCCATCCCAGTTCTGAAAAGTCAGGACCCACCTACTGCTGCTGCAATAGTGAATACCCTGGGCAAACCACCTGTTAAAAGGGGGGTATTTAGACCACCTGGCAATGGCAAGAACCTGCTTTTAAAACAGAGAGGCTAAATAAAGCCAGCAGCTGTAGCACTTCTGGGTTGTCCTTTCCTCTGTTAACCTGTCCAAGGTGCCTCTTCCTGTGACTTTGCTGTTTGCTGGAGCTTCGAGGCAGTAACTCGGGAACGTGTTTATTTTAGAGGGTGCTTCACAGGATGGCTGGCCTGATTGCCCAGTACTCAAGGTGGGAGCTTTTGATAACCAACGGGGTGTATACTGACTGTGTGGATAACAAATTACATTTATGGGGGGACACAGCCTGATTATTCGATGAACCCTACAACCTGGTGTTAGACTCGTGAAGGCTTCAGATGTGGCATGGAGTGTTTTTTGTCACTAACCTATTGAATGGCTTACGCTGCTGGATTACTGACGTTTCAGTAGGCAATACTGGAATGTTCCTGGCCGTGGAGTTACGCGTTGTCTGAAGCTGTGGTGGCTCCCAGTGCACACATAGATGCCTGTCTTTATTCTTGTCTTTTGTAATCTAGAAGTAATATAGGAGGATTTTCCCCTCTTTCTGTCAAAGCAGAACCGAAAAAGGTTGAAAAATGATGGTGGGTAGGTACGTGCCAGGTCTTGAAGTCTTGCAGTCAGTGAGAATAACGAAGAGCTTATTAGAGATCATGGATGCTGGATGTGTTAATTGTACTTGACTGCACTCTCCCTGTATTGCATAGAGTTGACATAACTATCCTGATACTAGTAACTAGTGGAGGCACCTGAATGTTTCCAAGTGGTGGGGTAAAAAGCTCTGTTACCTGTTTTCCCCAGAAAAGTTAGAATATTTGTTTTAAATACTGAAACAAATGAAAACAAAATATTTTCTCCAAAAAAATGTAGCATATACCATGCCCACACTCAAAAAGTGTTCTGCTGAGCTGAAGTCAGTAGTGCTACTGCTGTTTACATGGGTGCAAATTTCTTCCAAGGTCAAGACAGAGGACATTTAGATGCAGACATGAGTAACGGTGGGACAAAGCAGCCAGTGGTTCCGTTGGGATGCGATGGCAAATGTGAATCAGTGGAAGAGCAGTGAGGTTGTTGAAGAGTAACATAAGGTCGGGTCATACCCACTTTAATTACAGTGACTTCATTAGTGTGATATGGTGGACAGACGCTGTCCCGGCAAGGAACTGTGGTTAGGTCAGGGCACTTTAATTTCATCTCGTGGTGTTTAAGCTCTGTCAGTTTAGGGTGATATTGTGGTTTTCCAAGTACTTAGTTTCGAGGGCAGCAGTGATGTTTCTTCCCCTGGCATCTTGCCTCACAAGGTTTCTAACTGAACCAGAGCCCTTTCTTTAGCCACAGTAAAATAAAAGCTAAAGGGGAATAATCCTTCTTGCACTGACTGCGTTATTTTACGTATAATGGGAGCCAACGGTTGTATTTATGTGCTCATTTTAGTCTTCTCGGACAACAAGAGGCTGAACAGACAGAAACAAAACATATTATGCAAAAAATTTGTAATGCCCACTGCTTCGTTATGTCACTGAATGTATCCCGAGTTATTTTGTCTCCAACAAAAGGATGAGAACCCTGTTTGTATGACAAAGTAGAACGCTGTCTTCTGTCACAGTATGAAGTGACCGAGTCACGGCTTTCGGACCTTGAGAGTTCTAGTGGGGAGACAGGAGCTGCATGCCAGCGTCTCAAAATCGGGGTTTGTGCTGGGCTTTGCTGCTGACTCAAGTGTCTAATACCTTCCACTGTCAGTGAGAGCCCATGTCTTCACACCTCCCCTAGGAGCTCATTCTGCACAGATTTGCATGATTATCTTCAGCAGGGGAAGAGGAATAATTTTTTCTCTTTCTGTCCTTGACCAGAAGTCTATCTTTTCTCCCTTTTTAATGGTCTTGATCTCACTCTTTTGAAATCAAGCAAGGCTTCCATAATTGTCACAGAGAGTCAGAGTTACGGATGTTTATCATTTTCCTAAATGCTAACAGGAAAAACTTCTTCACTAAAAGAGTGGTCAGGCACTGGAACAGGCTGCCCAGGGAAGTGGTGGAGTCAGCATCCCTGGAGGTGTTCAAGGAACGTGTAGACGTGGTGCTTGAGGACATGGTCTAGTGGGTATGGTAGTGTTGGGGTGATGGGTGGACTGGATGATCTTATAGGTCTTTTCCAACCTCTGTGATTCTGTGGTTCATTCCAAAGTGGTAAATTGTGGTTTCAGTACACTGCAGTGATAATTTAGAGATATGGAAGTCATGCTCCAGTAATTAGTACAGTCATACTTAGGTCATTTTTCATTTTGACTTGGGATATAATCCTAGTAATGTTTGAGATAGCTATTCCTCTCTTCAGGGAAATATCTCACTAGTTAAAGGAATAGTCTCGCTGTCATCCATAGGCAAGTACCTGAAATGAACTGGGGGACAACAGGGAATACAGGGGCTCCAGGTCTGCTGTCAGACCAGTCACCGCAGCGTGCCACAGAGCAACAGCCCTCTTCACTCTGCACTTGAGAAGTTACAGCAAAACTGCCATGTCCTTACCTGTCACAGTGCCAAGATTAAGGAGAGCCAAACTGCTGGAGTATCAGTTCCAAGCAAAATGAATGCTTGACTTGAATCCTAGGAGGTTTACTTTTGCAAGAATGATATTCCTGACTCCAAAAGCGAAACTGTTAATTGAAAAGTGTTGCTGATAATTTGATCTCAGTGGACCACACACAAATTACCTTGTTGCAGTCAGGAGAATAAAAGTAGGATTTGCAGGATCAGGCTTCTAAGGCACAACCTTCCTTACATACAAATGTGGAATGTGCCTCTAAACTGGGGGAAAACATAACCCTAAAGCAAAAAATCCTTTCTTCCTCCACCACGAGCTCCTTGGTTTTCAAAACAGAACGTATGTGCTGTGAAAAGTACAAATGCTTTTCTTACACTGAAAAACATTAAGGAGTTTAATACAAACACAGACAAAATACAACTAACTCGCCTCCTTAAAAGTTTGTTGAACTACTTTAGGATCAAGTATTGCTCATGATGGCGTTTTTACCTAAATTATCTGCCACTTTTCAATTAGCTTTTATTATTTTAATGGTGGCTCCTCCCATGGCCCCTTAGTGCTTTGGTGAGGCTCACATAATTGACTATACTTTATGTAAATGGAATTGTTACACCATAAAATGATATACAAATGGGTCTACCACACAAAGTCCAATAAATAGTGTGAATAAACCCATTATTTGCAATGTAATGGCATCCAATAGCAGCCTGGGAAACAGGAAGCTGACAGATATGAGCCCATGACAAGGCCTGGAAAAAAACTGAATGAGAAACACAGAAGTCAAATTAATTGACTTCTGAAATAACTCCTGGTTTTTCACAGTTCTACTTGGCTGAGCAAGATTCACAAATTGCTGTCTTAAGCTTTTTAATGGGACAAAATAGCTGCCAATGACAGTCTAAACGACATGAACTCTGAACCGGAGTCAATGACCACGCCGTGACACGTTTTTAACTGCCGTATTATTTGAGAAGTAACAGCCACTCAGCTGGGAGGGAATTGGGAAGAGATGGGAGGGAGTCAGAGAACCGGGTATAGAAACAGTCTGTTGAACAGTAGCCAGATACGATTTTATTTTAGGAAAAGAAACAAATGCTAGGAAACATCCTGATAAGTATTTTTGCATTTGGAGTCCAAGTCTATTGTTCTTTTTGCTATGAAAAAGTGATCACACAGCTAAATCAAGAGGAAATTAGATTAGCAAGTAAGAAAATAGGAGTAATGCGCACGCTGACTTCCCTGGGGTTTCAGTACCTGCTGAAGACTGGAGCTGTAGTCACAGTCAGGTTTGCACAGGCTCAAACACCTATTTGTCTTTCTTTGGAAACTGGGGCCAAACTCTGACCTCAATCCCAGGGACATCGTGAGACAAGTAGTTAGTGAAGATGATTTCTTTTTCCCGATTTCTGTACTCCCTGCTGCTGCTGATCAAGCAGTGTCATTGTCTGTCTCTCTGGGAACTCATCCAAGAGTTTATACCCCAAAACCTTCATCAGCCTAACTCTCGTGGAGAACTTTAAGTGGAAAAGTCAAGCTATAACCTGTTTTGTGGGTGCCTTTGTTTTGGCTGATTTCTTTCAAGTCTGTTGAGCCACCAGAGCAGTTTCCTGGTTGGCTGCTTTCCACTGGCCACAGGGGAAGGCAGCAGCTTGCAAACCACAAGCCCCTTAGTTTGATTTCACCGAGTAGTACTAGGAGTCATCACCTATTGCTGCTTCCAGATGTAAAACTTAAGCTGGCAGATGCTGGACATCACCTACGGCTTAAGCAATCCTATTGCACACGCAGAGTCCTTGGTAATTCATCTTCCTCCAGCTGATGACCATGTTTTTGCTTGCCCAAAAAGGTCTCTGTTTCATGTACTGGATAGGATGATCCCCTCACCCTTGGCTAGGATGCAGCGTTCCTGGTAAAGGGTGCATAGCTCAGATGAAGGAGATATTCTCTGTCCTAAACTATCACCAGCCTATGCAGCTCTCCTCTCTTCCCTAGTTCTCATGTAACAGCTGTGCAGTAAAAGACCTGTTATTTGTACACTGTAGGATCTTCACTTCTGCCTTCCTTACTGCCTGATTCAACTTTGAGCACAGAACAAAACATTTAGAGTTAGGGTTTACCATTCATATTTATTGAAATCAAAATGCCACAATTCATTCACTTTACAGCTGAAAAGATCAACAACCGTCAGCTTCTAAAACAGTTGCAGGCACAATCGTGAAAGAGATGGCATAGAAGCTATGCCTGTTGCCCTGACAGGGATGTCTGGCTGACACACCTATGTGAAATAACACAGAGCGTATGTACCGAGGTACATGGCTGATCTGTCAGTATAGTCAACTGGTTTATAATTCCATAAGCATTTGGTTTTCTAACTGCAGTATTTTACTATGTGTTTAACTGAAGAGAAGATTAAGTGTAAACAGATGAGTATTTTCAGGGGGCAAGTGTTTGTCCATTTACTCTCACTTGTACATTTATAAGCAAATCATTCCCCATCCTCATGACTTTAACATCAGAATTGGTTCTTTTTCTAGACTGGATAAGTTGGGTTCTTTATGGTATTAAAAAGAAAAGCACAATTAAAACACAAGCTTTTATCTGTATTTTGTTTAAAAGCAGTACAGCTTTGATAGTTACTGGCCAGGTAAAAACACTTCTGTGTGCTGAAGAGGCTTTTGAACCATTATTTATCATGCTGTAACTAGTATTTTTTTCTAATGTTACAGCACCCCAGTGTTTCATATATCCAAGATATCTGAAGGTAACCAAAGTAAGAGTTTTCAGAAGTGCAGCAATTCGGTTCTGTATTTCTCCTTTCATCTAGAAGCTCATTCTCTTGTTTCTAGTCACTCACAGCACAAAAGAAAACAAAAGAGAGTCAGGAATACAGCAGCAGGCTTGTTTCACTGCCTGTGGCAATCCACAACACCTTATGTGTTACATACTGTTGGTCACACACCAGTGTCACACGTAAAGAATCCCACCTTGTCCAGCGTGGCAGAAGGAAGGCTGCTCTTTACTTTGCTGGAGTATCACTCTAGACTGTGGCTGAAGAAGCCCGTAGTCTTAGAGATTAGTACTGACGCCCTTTACAGTCAAGAAGCAACCAATAGAAAATGTGGACTTTCTCCACTGCACAAACTGCTGGAGCACATTTTCCCCGTGAACGAGGGCTCGGAGTACTCCTTCAGCACCCAGAGTGGATCAGGCAGCTCAGGGGACAGGTTTTCTCAGAAGAAACTGCTCTTGTCCCTCACTGCAGAAAACTGAAGTGCAGAAAAAGGAGAGTTTTGCGTTCACGGTTGGCTCGTAGCAGGACACATCCTCCTTCAGCACCTTTTGAAGTGTTTTGCTTAGTTGGGTAGTTTTAGTGCTGACTGTGCTTTGGAAAGCTGAGACCCTCGAGAGAGTGCTGCTCCAAAGACAGCCACGGCATGTGCAGATCCACCACCAATTCCATCTCCTGTTCTGGCTACAGAAATGGAATCAGACTAAGGCTATCCTTGACAAAGTACTAAGAGTTTACGAAGTAAAAATAGAGACACCAAGCCTGAATTCCTTGCAAGTCCCTCTCTAAAGCACTATGCCTAACATGAAACGTAGTCACAGAGGTTCCCTCAAGCCTTCCAACGATTCCCTTCTGAGCAGCCAGCAGGAGCACTGTGGTCTCATAAGGGAGAGTTTTACAAATCAAAGTCCAGGAAATCTCTCTTGTGAGCTTCCCTGTTCTTCATGGGCTACTACAAGTAGTAAGAGCTACCACAGTAAGTCCAGAGGCATCAGTAAGCTATAGGCCCAATCACTATGAGACCCAAATACCCTGATTGCCTACTGATCGTTTGAAAGCTCTAAGAAGGAAATGCAGAAGTACAGATTCCTCTGTATGTGGTGAGGACTTCTGAAGACATACCACAACCCAAAGCAAAGAACACCAGGAGATAATGGAAGTATATTCTCCTTTGTGCTAATTCCCTCTATGTTTCAAAAGACTCGCCTGGCTGCCTGCAGGCTTCACGCAGACAGGAAGCAACATTTTCTGTGTACTCTGCACCCTGTCTGGAGGCTACTCAAATCAGAGTCCCAGTAACACGTAGAAAATCCAGTTTCTACCACCTCAACAGCTAAAGCTACACCAGCAGAGAACGTCCCACCTCACAAAGAGGAGCTTTGTGACAAAGCTTTGTGACAGCAGACCCTGCTTTAAGTGAACAGCACTTTTAAGCTCCCCATGCCAGCCAGAAATGCACTCCCTGAACTCCTCAGCACACAAAAAGAAACCCTGTCAGAGCCTTCAGTGTGAAGAAGTGAAGCTTGTTCTGGGTCAGAAGATGAGACAGAAGGCTTCATCCTCCAACGGGACCATTGCAGACCACATACTGCTGCTCTGCAAGATGCTTTCCTGAAGACTGTCTGGTGTATTCCCAGTCTGAGTTGATCTCATTTATTTACTAGTGATCCTGACACCATTTCTTATCCATCAACTCCTAAGTCTCTACGTTTCCATTCCGATTTGTCATTGGCCTTTATAACTTAGTGTCATAGGACCAAACGTACTGATTTTAATAGTTCATTCTCTACCATCTCATGGAGTCATACACTGAGAACGGGGGTGTTGTAAATCCTGACTGTGGACAACAGTCTGTGTACAGAGAAAGGCAACACTGAGACCTACCTCAAACCTGAAACCTTAATTTATCACGGAGTTCTTCCTGTTTCTTTCTCAAAGGGGTTATTGCTTCCTGTGAAACACTTTTAGACCTGAAAATTAATTCTAAGGATCCTTTACAGCAAGCCACAGCAGCCACTGACAACATTTAACAGCGGTTTGTATCATAACTTTGCTTTTAGAAGGACAGTAAAGGTCTTTGCAAAACCTTTCATCATAGTTTTTACTATCATCAACATTTTACTAAATCACTACCTAAAGTTTTTTGCAATTCAGACAAAGAATCAGCAGATTTCCCAAACTGCTTAAAAGAGCTAATGATTTTCATCTCAAACAAAACAATCTTTGAGACTTAGACTAACACATACAAAGCGTTGCTGCAGGACTGATTATCTGCGTGTAAGTACTTAGGCGAACTAAATTAAGATACAAGACCTTACTGTTTCTCTTGGCAGAGAGAGAGAACAGTGCCAGTGGAAAATAACCAGAAGGCAGGGTACAAGGCTTCAGTAAACTGGGATTTGAATTTGTAGATCAAGTTATGCTTCTCCCCCACCGCCATGAAAATCACAAACCCTCCCTCGCAGTGCAGCAGCACACCGATCTTGGTCGCCTTCACGTTGGGTAAGCACTTTTCAACATCATTATGCCAGGATGATATTTTGGAATTAAACCACTCAATGCACCACGAACTGCTGTTCCTCCCCAGGCGGCTCTCCGGCCCCTGCCGGGCCATGCTGCCGTAGCAGATGCCGATGCCACAGAAGTTGTTCTGTTGCAGTTCCACTTCCCAGTAGTGGATACCTCTCTTGAAGCACTGGAACCCCAGCACTTGGGAACAATCGGTGAAGCGCTGAGGGTGATGGTTATAATTCAGGGGGGTGTCTGAGACAGACATCCTGGTATATCTCTCAGACAGAATCACTTTGTTATGAGCTGTGTTGTAATCCAGCGTGATGTTGGCAGAATCTGCAATGACATGAATTGTTTGAAGGTACTGAAGAGCAAAGCACTTTTATTTATACTGTCCTGCCTAGGCACTTGTTCCTGTGCCTGTTTATCTCCCTGCGCTGCCATAAAAGCCTGCATTTAATTTCAAAGGAAAACGTGTTGCATTGTATTTCTAGGCTACCCTAATGCAGTCATTTGGGGAAAAACCAAAGCCATTGCTGAGAAAACTTCATTTACCTTCATAAAGATACACAAATACCAAAGACAAATTTGGTTCATCTGGCAAAAGAACCACTTAGAAACCTCCTGCTCCCTTTTCCTCCAAAGTTTTCCTTCATTTGTAACAAGTAGTTGATAACCTACTAAGCTAACTGAACCCCCTCCAAAGCATTTTGCCAGGTAACTGCAGAGGGCACGTAACACCGGTGCAACAAGTGCGGAAGGGTCATCTTTAAGTAGTGTAACATTGGGTGTCTTACACTGCAGAAGCTCCTCTCTGGATTTCTTCAGAAAGCTGTCAATAAGCTCTTTAGTTGTTGAAACAGCAGCTGCAGCATTTACTGTCCCCGTGGCTGGTGCTGTGTCGACAGAAGATGAGAGTTAGGAAGAAACCCCGCATGCTTAACACACAGCCACAGGCAGCCCGAGGTTGGAGAGCACCTCTAGAGTTTATCCAGCTGAGCCTCCTGCTCCAAGCAGGGTTCACTTCCACGTTAGCTCAGCTTGCTCAGTCTTGTCAAGTTTTGAAATTCCTGGTTGCCTCTGGGCAACCTCTTTCAGTACTTGACCGCTCTCGCTACTAAGAGCCTCTCAGAGCAAGAGCTGAACTTCTGCTTAATACACCAACACCACTGACTATCCATTTACCTTTTTAAGAGCAGTCAATGAAAACTGGAATAAGTATGCTGAAAGTTTGGACTCACCAGCTTTAACAGGTTTCTTTTTCTCCTCTGCAGGGGGAGCAAAAAAAGAAAAAGAGTGAACTGTCAGTTCTACTGAGACTGAAGAGCCACTGACAGACTGTAACAGTGTCATCGTGGCTGTTGTGAAGGTGCAGCAGTAGACAAAGCTGACAGTCCAGCATGTTGAAGCCGTGTACAGGTACACCCATACTGGAAAGCCACACATGAAGCACAACGTACTATTTGCTTCCTATTTCACAGGGTCATAAGCCTGGAAGGAGCTTCACCTCTACTCCAGGATGCAGCGAGTGGAAATAAGCCTGTTCCCATGAAGCACACAGACTATTCCTTCTCTTCTTAAAACAGCTCTTCGAGCGCAGCAACAGGAGCTACAAGTTCACTCAATCCCAGTAACCCACAGCAGACCCCGTTGAGTGCTCTCAACCAGGAACAGGCCACATGTCAAGAGCTCAGTGGACATAACAGAAGTAGCTTCTTAACGCTTGGATGTATTTCAAAAAGAGAATACAGAAGGAAGACCTTCCAGACAGGCTAGAGTGCTGCATTAATACCACTATCTGGACACAGCAGCCCTGAAAGCTGGACACAGCTGGCCACCATGACCGGCCTCAAAGACTGTCTCTATCACCCCCCCGTGGGCTGTAAGCAAGACACGGCCAGCAAGGTGTTTGCACGAGGCTGCTGTTCATTGCCACTTACTGGTATCTGCTTCCCCTTGCGAAGTGGCTTGAGTCTGCTGAAGGGTCTTCTCTTTGTGGGTGTGCTCTTGTGAGGGGAAGGAAAACCAACAGAACGTGAACAGCTCGTAGGCAGGATTTGATACATACCAAGCCAGCAGATGTTCAGCACTAGAGAAATAAGCCCTGCAAGAGCCAGAGGGTGGGGAGGCTCGGCTTCGCCCCGCGGCCTGCACGGACCGCGCGTGCCGAGGCGAAGGCACCGCCATAGCTGGGCAGCTTGCTGCTTTACAGCTCACAGGGCATCCATCGCTATGTCACCCAGCACACCCTCCCCGTCCCACGCCAACGCGCTTCCTACAGACAGCACTGCATCACCGCGGGAGCAAACGGCTCTTGGGTAACCACCTGAATTCCTGTTTATCGGTAAAGCCATAGTTAGGAGAGGATGTTCTTTACTACTTACGTGGCCCCGGGGGCTTTTTCGCAACAAAGTTTTTGTTCAGAGAAGCTGCTGGAGAGGGCTTAGTTTTCCCAGGTGTTGGTTTTTCTGCAACAGTGATATTTTCCATTACGGTTTGTATCGCCAGGAACAGTAATGCATGAGCAAGGCCATTTTTTCAATCTTATTTTTCAGTGATGTGGACAGAAATTCTGTGCAGAGTTGGAAACTGCACAGAAGATAACCCCAAAATATCCAAAAGATACTTTTTTTTTAACCCGGTGAGTAGGGCTTTGTTCCACACCACTTACACAACCAGCACCTTTACAGCAGGGTAACGATAGTCCTGTCACTCAAAAACATTTTATGTCTCCGCTCAAATCCACATCCTACCTGTATCCAACCCTGCTACTGAACAAAGCCATACATTCCAGTAAGGAATAAAGGCTGAGGTGGGCCAGAAGGGCATAGTACCATGACACTCATCAGCTTCTCCAAGTATAGATAAAAAGTAAAGAGACACTGGCACACTTTTTCTCCTAGTTTAGCCCAGACTGTGGCATTCTTGTTTGGGAATGGAGGACCACAGACGCTGGAAGACAATTTATATTAACCAACTGTATTTGCTGCACCTTTCTTTTTTTTAAATGATGCTTGGATTGAAGGGGAAAGATGCCTCATTTGAGCTCAAAGCTGTCATGGTTTAACCCTGGCTAGCAATTAAGTACCACGCAGCCACTCACCTCCCCAACTCCTCCAGTGGAGGAGGAGAATCAGAGGAAAACACAAGGAAGCTCATGAAATAAGAACTATTTAATAATTGAATATAAAATAATATTATAGTGATGCTGAAAATATTAATATTAAAATATTAACTACTACTAGTAATTAATTAAAATAATAGAAAATAAATCATATGCTACAATTGCTCACTACCTGCTGACTGATGCACACCCAGGTCCCAAGAAGCGAGAATCGGAGCCAGAGAGCCTGGAAGCTGGAGCCCAAGAGCGACTGCAGCAGAGTCTGAGCGAGCCCCACGAGCAACAGCACGACCAGGAAAGCCAACTGACCCAGCAACTCACTAACGAGCGAGCAAGCTAGCAGAAAAGTGAGCTAACAGGTGAGCAAGCAAAGGAGCTAATGGCCCCCCAGCCCACTCCCCACATATGTACTGAGCGTGATGTACTATGGAATGAAATACTCCGGTCTGTTTGGGTCAGCTCTCTGAACTGTGTCCCCCCATGGTGCCTGTAGTGAAAAAGTTGGGAACACAGCTGCAGTATCAGAAGCTGAAAAAGTCCTTGAATTTGATGCAAGCTCTCCTTAGTACCAACTAAAAAACACTTTACCAGTACTATTCTCAGGGCAAATCCAAAAATACAGCCTCATATCGGCCACTGAAGAAAATTAACTGTGTCCTGACTAAAAACTGCACAAAAGCCAAGGCAGAGAATACCAGTTCTCCCAGTGATACAGTACCTTCTGCTTTTTTCTCCCTACACTGTGTCACAGCATGTTTCACAATGTCTTTAAGGTTAATGGCAGACTGATAAGAGGAATGTATCAAGTTTTGGTCCATTTCAATTACAGGGACGAAAACATCTTTTGTCGACGTTTGCTGCAGTGCTGCTGCTCTCTGAAAGGAGAAAGGGAAGATCTCATGCAAACCACCTTGTGTAGCAGACAGAAAAATACAACCAAGTTACTTCAAATGCAGTGGGGTTTGTGCATTCATCTCAAATTCAAAGGATCGAAGGCAAACACAACCCATGGCAAAATTTCCGCAGCAACCCACATGTATGAGTTCCCCACCATCATCTGAAGCAGTGAGAAAGGTCCCCTAGATGGTGTCACAGCACAGAGCTGCAACACCTCATGGAGATGAATTCCCTCAGTCACTGGCCCCTCTGCTGGTGGCAGGGGCGGAACTGGGGGAAGTTAGCAGGCGCCACTTCATTTCAGCACTCTCATTGGTATTTGTGACTACCGGTACATCCTTTATAGCAGGTTCTTGCACACGACTGCATTATCATCATTTGACCAAAAGCGTCTGGAGAGCAGCACTACCACAGCAGGATTCTGTGATTCCACATTCAAGAAACATGAAGAATTGGATTTGCATCTAAAGGACGTATTACCTTCAAAAACAGAATCTCATCACTTTCCATCAGTGCCATCTCAATCTGATCTCTGAGAGACTGGACCTCATTCTTCTTACTTCCAAGAACACCGTAAATATAATCAAACTTATTGCAAACTCTTTTTTCTTCATCTGCAATTATTTTTAAGGTCTGGTTTTCTCTTTCTTCAATTAAAGCTTTAATTTCTGAAAACTCACTTCTGATCAAATCTTTCTTTCTGGAAGCTGTTTCCTGGAGTGGACAAAAACAGACACTGGTTTTGTGGACAAAGTACTGCTTACTACTACAAGAAACCCCCAGGCCTTTGAGAAACACGTTGAAACAGGCAATAGAAAAGCTATGCACTTCTACGTAGCTTGGAAAGAAAACTCATTTACTCCCAAGAAACCAGGCCAGTTGTCACTCTCTGCAGCCGGCGGGGGCTGCTGGGCAGAGGCCAGGCCAGCCGTGCCATCGAGCAGTGACCAGCACCAGGACAGGGCTGTGCCACCGCGAGCTCGGACACCGCACGCCCACTTCCACGCCTTCTGCCCCTGAGATGCAGCATCTCTGGTTTATCCAAAGCAATTCCTGATCCTCTGAGAGATGCTCCAGAGGAGCGCAGAAGTGCTACCCCAGTGGCTTTGCAGCTTCTTGGTCTCCACCACTCGGTTCAGAAAGGATGGTGCGAGACGTACCCGATCCAGCCTCAGCACAAACCAACCCTGTTCGTCAGCTAGGAGCGAGAATTCCTTGTGGTAACTGCTGGGGAAGAGACACCCCGACTTTCCGCCCTGGTTCAGCCATTCCAGCTCGCTGATCCTTTAGCTTGGCCTGCAGATAGAGGCACTTTCTGGTGCAAAAGGATGGGTTTAAGCCCAGTTACGGGCCGGGCGTGTCAGCACGTGGGGGTATAAAGCCTTTGCAGGGTGGGTTACTCCCATCTCCCTCGGAGCTGCCTGGCTCTGCCAAAATGCCTCTTTTCTGTCCCTTCCCAATAACGTCTTCTCCTGCCAGCGCAATCTCAGTACTACAGCCACTGTCACAACAGTACAAGTATCATCAACACGCAGTGCCCAGCGTATGCCAAGCAACCTGCCGGCGTTTTGAACTGTTACCCACTTACAGCAATTTGGCTTTGGTTTGTTTTCATGGTTTTCATCGCTTGAGCAGCTCTCTCACTCTGATTATACAGCTCCATCAGTCTCTTCTTCAGCGCTGACTGCAACAGAAGAAATCAGAAAGTCTTTCAGAGAAGCCGTTGCCATGTCTGCTCTCAGCTGGGTCATGCGTACTGGAGTAAGAACCGTATTTACAGTTCTGAACTGTGTAAGCATTCAGTACTATTCACTTAAAACTCACTGCTCCTTAAACCTTCCAGGATGTAAAATGCTCTCCTGTACATGTGTGGATGGCGGAGCCGGCACCTCCCCGCAGCTCCACCTGTCCCAGTGGGAAGATGCACGGTGCTGACTCACTCTTTTGATAAGGACGGAGCCCTTCCATCAGCACAGCGGTTCCCAGTGCTAAGAATAAACTTTACGTTCGCTCTCAGGTTGGACTTTGGGCACTCGGTCAATGCTACCGCTCGCTCAGCCCTCTTTTAACTGGGAATTTTACTGCTCGGATGTGAATTACCTGCTCCTTTGGTTCCAGATGATGCTGGCTCAGGGAGGACTTCGCAGGGTAAGCAGTGCACACGCTCACCACACAGATGAGAGTTTACCCACCGACCCTCTGATCTTCAGCTGCGCTCTGCGATACGAAGGCCCTGCCATTCCACTCCCTGCTCCTGGCTTTTCTCTCTACAGCTCTCCCTGGGCTACCTTTATCATCGTTTGCTTCGGAAGACATACACCGAGCCACGTCTGCCTGCAGTCCCTCGGTCAGCCCCGCCAAGGCCAGGCAGCAAACCAGCGCGGTGGGCAGCAGAGGAGGCTCGGAGCGACACCCACAGAGGCAGGAGGCCTCGCTGGCCAGCCCAGTGCACGGGAGGAACTGGGACCCAGCCCCATGGCAGCCCCTTCCCAAATCCTAGGAGCACCATCTCGGAGGGAGGAGGAAAACGCCAGGAACCACTCCGCAGACGTGCTGCAGGGCGGACAGCAGTTTCCAAGTCCAGGCAAGAGATTCGCAGCCCGGGTCTTCCCCCAGCCTCTCCCTTGTGCTCTGCAGCCCACGACCCCAGCACCCAGGGACTCTCCAGGCCCCGGGGGTGCCCGGGGGTGCCCGGGGCAGGGCCGGTGGCCCCCGCTGCTCACCTCGGCATTGGCTTTGGCCATCTGCAGG